AATAATTCTTACACTGGTGAAGTTTTAATTTTTTGTATTTACCGTATCTTATTGTCTATCGAATAAATGCTTAAACTCACATTAGAGATACTTTAAAAATATTTAATAATTTTTTTAAATCGTCAAACGCTGTGAAAAACCGCAATTGGATGATTATAAATTCACTTATTTATCTGTACGAACATCAACATATTTTGATGGAACAGAAAGCTTGAGACATTTCATTTTTGCGTATTGAAAACGGTTCCTAACGAGTAAATGTCATAATTTTTAAAATTCATCCAGAAAAATGAGAATTTGGTATTAAGAAAAATTCATATGTACGTGCATCTTTCACGACTTTGAATTGTTTTTCAATTCAATTATTGTAATTTAATTTTAAAAAATAAAAGAATGAAGATCATAATATACAAACAAGTTGTGTGATATATTTTCACCTTACTTAGCACAAAGTGAACTAAACACACTGAAAGAAAATTTTTTAGAATGAAGAAAATATTCACGAGGATGGCTTCGAAAAAATAATTGTTGGCAGTAAGATGGTATTTTTTACTTCAAGAAAATATTCATTGTAAGTACATAAATATTTTTAACGTTTAAAACTATTTATCTGGTTGTATTAAATTTATTTTTTCAGTTTAAAATTAAAACATTGATGTATATTATTTTTTCTTGTTGTACGGACATAAAAATTTATAATGAATTACCATTTCTATTATGCCAAATGGTATCTATTAGTTTTATACCTCAACCACAACAGCATGATATATGTATAAAACGTAGCGGGTTGTAATAGTACTACACGATAGTAAACACATATTTTTCCTATATCTCATAGGCTTCCGACAATTTAATGTTTTAAAAAACTGCTCGGCATGCATTTAAAAAATTTACGAATGTCTTATAAAACATTTATGGAAATTACAAATTCTCTAAGTACATGCATGGTTTATTCGTAGTTTTGTAAGAAACATATAAATAAAAGTAACTCCTCCTTTCTAAATATCCGGATAAACGGTGCTGTCATTAAAGGTATCGTATCCTTGATGAGCTATCTCATTGTGCCTCGAGTACTGTACACCTAAATTGTGACCAAACTGAATTAGAGATACAAGTATGGTGTACTTTAATTTTTAGAGTTAGTGCAAAGCTTTGTCATACAGGTAGTGGCTTGTTTTGGTGAAAACAAAGGATTGTGAAGAATATATTTATAACATAAAATATGTATGCGATGGATTTTATTTCATGATGGTTAAAAAATCTAAAATTCAAAATATATTTTTACTACAGAGAAAAATATTAAAATACTACGTGATGGCAAGTAGCACGTAAACATGCAATGTGCAGAGTACTTTTATGTTATTAAATTCCTTGTTTTTCGTTCCAAAAATCAATTTTTTTCCTTCCTTTTGCGGTATTGATTTGAAAACAACCAAAGGCCAACAACAAAATTATCTTGTTTTACTAATAATCTATATCACTAAATATTTTAAGGGTAGATATCGTAAAAAACAGTTGCCTTGTAACACTACGTAAAAATACAGGATAATTGTTTTGAACTTTTTACCCTCTAACTACAGAAATAGATGAATATTTCTTTAGTGTTGATACGTTGTTTGCGTCTAGTGCATCAGTCGTCGAGGCTCGGCTAAAGTACTTGAACAGCGAGGGATTAATATTAACATTTCATTGACTAAGACAACAGATTTGATAAAAAATGGAAAAATTTATCAAAATAGTTGCTTGTACATTGCTTTGCACAACTATAATTAATAGCTTACCAGAAAACGACATTTTGGAGCAAGTTTCAAACTACTTACGAAAAAATTTAGACTTGAAATACGTGACAATCATAACAAAAGACGAAAAAAAACTTTCCCAAATGTCTTTTAAAATAATAAAGACTTTGGAACAACAGTTTTCTACTTCCATCTTGACAACAGAAGTAACGAAATTAAGAAAAAATCCCAACATGAATCGGACTTTGGAAAATTTTTCTGGATTACTGGAACGCAATACTTTCAAAATTCTAATTGTTGATCTTTCCGTAAGTAAACTCCAGTTGGATTCGGAATCCGATTCCTATTTCAAACTTTTGAAGGGCTACAGTTACGTCGGCCAACGGCCGCATTGCCTGATATTTTTAGTGTGCAAAAGGTCTAGCGAGGGTGTCCGAAATCTTTTCAAAAAAATGTGGTCTTTGCGATACTTGGACACGGCAGTTATTGAAATTGTCGTTACAAAACCACCCGCGAAGAACAAATATCGTTCGAAATCATGGAATCTTGTCGATAATGTCGCAGACGTCGGGATATTTCATTACAATCCTTTTGACGGTCAACTGCAGTTCAAACGAAAATTCAACAGTACACAGATACTTCCTCATAAACTGAAAAATATAAATAGATATCCAATAATAGTTGGGCATTCAAACATGTTAAAAACAAATTCACTCAAGTTGCTACCAATGAGAGACTACTTAGGTCGATCAGTTGATGAAAATTTCTTGAGGTATATTGTAGAAGCGTTGAATTGTACTATAGTTGAGCGTCGCGTTTTTATAACAAACTTAAAATATAGTAATTTAGTTAACAGGGCATTAGAACGTAAGCAGATTGATATGATATTTAATGTTTATTTATCAGAGAGTTTGAGCGAATATTTGTACATTACTTATTTTGTAGAAAGTGATTTGTTACAAGTAATACTTATTAAACAAAATGGCTATTACAATAGAGATAAAATCATTAGGAATTTGTTCAGTCTCATTATTTTGCTTCTTCTTATAATTGTTACATTCATAACATTTAACAAACCGTTTAAACTTGATTTAAAAATGAGTTATTACTATGTTTTAATGGTTATTTTTAATAGCCAAACACATGTTTCAGTTAAGAAAACTGTCCATCGAATTATTTATGTAACTTTAGTTTGCGTATCCATAATTTTTACGTTGGTATTTGTCAATGTAATATTTTCTGCAAGTTTTGTTCAGAAACAATTCTATGAATTCAATAATTTATATGAAGTTGGCAATGCCCATATGTCATACAAAACTACTAGTCGTGTGTATTCTTTATTTCAAACTATAAAAAATTGGAGTGATGTGCAGATTATTTTAAACAAATTGGACGAGACGAGCCCCCAAAATTGTTTGTCTTTGGTGTTTGAACCAGATTCAGATGTCAATTTTTGTACTGGCAATCCAACATATATCCGAGCGCTTAAAATATTTCATGATATTCACTCCGAAGATGGTTCCTCCTTAAATGTGGTGAGAATACCAGATGACATTCGACGCTATTATTGGACAAAAGTTTTGTCACGCCACTCGCCATATACGAAGAAAATCGCTTCCCTTATTTATTCGATGATGGAATCAGGTCTTCATCAATATTGGCTCAAAATGAATACTTTGTTTTCTCGCAGTGAAAATGTCATGATCGACAGCAACAATCAACCACATTTTGGAAAAAAGTACATGTCAAAACCATCGCGAATTGTCATTTCGTTGGATATTAGTAATTTGTGGCTCGTTTTTCTGACAGGGTTTTCTTTGTCTTTCGTGGTTTTTCTTTACGAAAGATGCAAAAGGCCATCGAAACGATCAATATCAGAGAAAATTTCGAACTAATTTTAAGATTTGAGAACAGAGTTCGTAAAAACTTGAATATTTGGTGCTTTAAGCTCACCACAAGAAATTTTTTTAAATAAGGTCCGAATCGTTACTTATGAAATGTTTAACGGGACTGCACCCATCACAGCCAATCTTGAGAGTGAGAGAAAAGTTTTGTACCCCATGATTTTTCTTGATTAACGATGTGGAAATTTTCATATTATATCGTAAAAAAATCAAAATGCGAAAACCCAATTTCGAATTATAGCTCAATGTGACTGATTTCGATATTCCAGCCGAGCGGCTAAAGGTTGCAATATTTGGCTACCTAAGGTTAAACAAATCAACTATGGATTATGCATATGGCTACTGAGTATTATTTTTGCCATAAAAATTACCTGGATATATAGTAGGAAAAAAGAAATAAAATCGCAAAATACACCTACAAGTCGCGCTGTTGGCGGCACTTATACCGCATATTTTACAACAGCATACAATAAATTTTTCTCGTGTCTACAACTTGTGATTTTATGGCTGGGAATGCACGTATGCAACGGCATTTTTGTATGTAAGCACTGCGGTTTAATTTTTCGAAAACGTACAACGGTACAACCTCTCTAACGTCATATTTTTTTTAGAGACATAAAAATAAAAGCATGCAATTATTTTTATTTAAAATTTCGAAAATGCAATTTCCCTGAGAATTGATGATAATTTGTTGTTTCTGGTTATATAACATTATTGTGAGTCTTACCTATACATACAATGTACCAAAAATCACGAAGCATAATTTGAAATGCGTGCGTTGATTAAATAAAACGTTTTAAAGTGCTTCAAATAAAATCACACAGTCAAATAATGCAAGTTTCACTTCTTCAATTAAGTAAGTAGTTTCGATGGACATGGTCAACAAAATTTAATGATGCAATTACATTGTTTTTTTATACCGTGAGTTGGGATTGGAAACTAAAGTCGATTTAGAATTTCGTGTGTTCCATTTTATGTATAAAATATGGTATGCATGTATTTTTTTGTCAGTTGAGTGTAGTTTGTTAAATAAATTACAAGGTCTGATTACAAATTTTGTTGTTTCAAGAAAAGAAACTCATGCATCGAAATATTATTTATGAAAAAATTGTATTGTCACTTTGTTCTCTAAATAAAATTACTAAAAATTTATGTACGAGCCAAAAATTCTTTTTAAATTATTTTATGATTATTTAATACTGGATGTACTGTTTCATGTGTATATCAAACACCAAAAATAAGAAAATCGTTTAAATTATTACACTTAAATCATACAGATACACACGATCGATACGGTAATTTATTTGTAAACTTTGAAAAACAGAAAAAAAGTCATGTAAACTCACTCCAATTGACTTTAGATGAAAATCATCTATTTCACGAACATACAAGTATACTTTTATGCAATTATATTCCTACCACTAAACAAATACGCACTCAATGAATCACACACGAATCGGAATACACCAAATAAATGGAAATAAAACAAACGCGAATTAATATGTAATGGAAACAATAGAAAAAAATAGAAAAAAGGAGAAAGTGCACTCAAAGCTTCACTAGACCTGAAATGAGCGACCAACATCTTGTAATGCACAATAAGTAAGTACTTATAAAATACATGTGCAGAGTCAACAAAAGCCGAAGGTATGAGGACCGAAAAATCGTGAGAAATCTTATACTTGAGTATACCTATCACGATTTCAACTCAGTTTAAATATATAGGAGATCAATATTCGGGTAAAAATAAATTTTAAACTTGCCGCAAATAAAATTATCAATGACAACTTTTTAATTTCTATCTATCAAATTAGTTGCGGCTGGTTTATATCTGATTAAATGGCACTACTACAAATAGTAATAAATATTTGGATCAGCGCCATCTAGCGTTGTGGATTTCTGAACTAAAAAGTGGCCCTAAACTTTTGAACCAGAGCTTTAGCGCTTAGAGCCATTTATTTAATTATAAACCAGCCGCAACTTATCGTATGGTTATAAAATAAAAAAATAACGGTACATTTGTTTTTGGCGGCAAGTTAACAATCTATCTTATGCTTAAAAATTTATCTTTAAAAGTATAAATGCACAAGAGGTCGATTTTTTGATAGAAAATAAATTGTTAACTTGCCGCCAAAAACACGTGTATTGTTATTTTTTTATTTTATAACTATATGATCAGTTGCGGCTGGCTTATAACTGATTCAGTGGCTCTAAACGCTAAAGCTCTGGTTCGGAAGTTTAGGGCCACATTTTAGTCAAACAATTTGAAAAGCTAAGTGTAAACTTGCCGCAAAGAGCACAAACATACTTTATTTTTTGTTTTATATCTTTAAAATTAGTTGCGGCTGGTTTATAATTTACTAAATGGCTCTACTACAAATAGTATTAAATATTTGGATCAGCGCCATCTAGCGGTCTTTATTTTTTGGCCAAAAGTGGCTCCTAAAATTCTGAATCAGAGCAATCAGGATTAGAGCCATTCAATCAATTATAAACCAGCCGCAACTCATGATGAAGCTATAAAATGAAAAAATAACGATACATGTGTTTTTGGCGGCAAGTTAACAATTTTTTTTCTACCAAAAAATCGATCTCTTATGTATTTATACTTTTGAAGATAAATTTTCGAGTATAAGATAAATTGTTAACTTGCCGCCAAAAACTTACATATCGTTATTTTTTCATTTTATAGCTTCGTCATGAGTTGCGGCTGGTTTATAATTGACTAAATAGCTCTAAGTCTGATTGCTCTGATTGAGAATTTTTGAGGCCACTTTTCGCTAAAAAATGAAGACCGCTAGATGGCGCTGATCAAAATAATTATTACTATTTATAGTAGAGCCATTTGAACTATTATGAACCAGCCGCAACTGATTGTATGGTTGTAATATAAATAGTTAACGTTGTTTCTGTTATTTGCGGCAAGTTTACAATGTATCTCTCACTCGAAAAAATTAAAGAGAAACAATGCATCCTCTGCAGGTAAGCGATGTTTCAGGTTACTTTTCAACAAAGTTAACTTAAAAAGCTAACAATGTTAAGTAATGCCATCAACAAAAAGGAGCGGACTATCCGACTCCATTAAATGTTTTGACCATCAATATATGAGTATGCCTATTGTGCTTGAGAGCAACAATCCAGTAATTGAGTGTAAATAAAGTGTTGATTTTAATATGATGAAAGAGTATAAAAAAGATGAAAATGGCAATGGTATAGTAGATTAAATAAAAACAAATTTATTACTAAGACGAATGTATTATAATTATTCTACAGGATTACAGAGATTACAGAACATAAATTTTTATTGTAGATCTGTCTCACAATTTTTGCTCATTTTGTTTTTAAAATCAAGTAATATAAACACTTATATTGCAACTAGGATATTAACTAAATAACAATTTTTTTTTCAATGAGTAGTTTAATATTTACAAGTTAAAAATTTACTGCACGTTGGTCTAAATAAAATACGAAATGTTAAAAAAATATACTGTACACGTGTAACTCATTTTTTCCTGTTTCGTAAGCTTCGAGCACTAGGTGGAGAAGAAGGCTGTAAACAAAAAGTTTTATAATTTTAATTATACAAGAGTATTGTAGAGATCAAGAAAATTTTCCCACACAAATACTTTTGACTTATAAGGTTGAATTATAGGATTTTAAGAACATTAGAAACTTACGTCACACTGTTCACCTTCAAGGTCAATGAAAGAATCATCTTGTGGCATGAACAGTTTCCTGCGTCTAGTAACTCTTGCTGGCGCTGCAAAATCTTGTGCATCGTCATTTCGTCTAAAAAAATAATAATTACAAAACGATATTACAGATGCTCATACTAAAAGTCATGATTTTGTCAAATATATGTCTTACTTGGATTCAGAACTACATAGGTCAACTGTAGAGATATTTTCTACTTTGGGTGTGAGGAGTGGTTTTTCCGCTTTAGGTGTAAACAAGGGTTTTTTTTTCGTCGATTTACAACTTCTGATGCTTTCAGTGTGGTCATCTTCTGACGTATTTTCATCTGCAGTACTCTTTACCTGCAAAAGTGACATATTTTCATTATAATTGTATTACTGACACGCTTGAAAAATGTTACGTAATATATAAATACTAAGAAATTTGAACTTTTATGAAACTTTTTATCAGTACTTACTGGCTTACGTCGAGGCTTTCTAGTACTTTTGAGAACGTCCACATTTTCTGTGTTTTCTTTGACTAACTGTAATAAGTCTTGGAATTTCTTGTTCTGTAAGCATTTGACAATATTAAGAAAATGTTTTTCACAGTACAATTAATCATAATTGTTAATCGTTAAACCATACTTCTGCTTTTAATTGACTCAGTTCTTCGTTACGCGACGCGATCACATCATCATATTGAGACAGAGTCTTAATTTGATTCTTCTCAAAAACTTCCAACTGGCGATCTGACTCACTCAGAGCCTTTTTTAACTCTTCGACTACTTTTTCGAGTTTTTCAGTTTCTGCTTGCTTGTTCAATGAAGTTTCCTCAAGCTCATCGATCCTTTTTTCAAGAACGTGAATGACATCCTCGTAATCTTTGCGCACTTTTTTTCTTCTCTCCCCCTCGCTCTTTAGCTCCTCTTGGGCGTTAGTGTATTGAAGCAATGCACTTTTCATTTCTCCTTCCATTTTGAAAACAGTTTCTTCATTTGATCTTATCAAATTTTTCATTTCTAAAAAATTAAATTTAAATAAAACTTGCTCTTTTTTATTTCACATGCAATTTTTTTACCTTTTTGTAAAGTATTGATTTCCACGTCTTTGTCCGCTTCTTTTTTTTGTAATTCTTCTAATTTGACTGACAACTCTTTACATTTGGCTTCTTGTGCTAACATCAGTTCTTTAAAGTTATCACTTTCCTTTTTCGAATTCTGAAGTACTAGACACAATTCTTGAAAATAAAAATATGTATCAACGAAACAATGTGTACAAAGTATTCAATCCATACTTTTCCCCCAATCAATCAAAATTTGAAAAACCTACCTGCTTGCATTTCTAAAATTTTTTCATTTTTTTCGTCCATCTGAGCTTTTAGTTGGCTTACTTTGCTATTCAAATCTTTCAATTCCTCTTCGAAGGAGCTTTGAACTTGTAATTTTTCAGCCTTACACGTATCGAGTTCTAGTTTCATTTCGTCAAACTGTTTTTCCAATTCTGCATAAGCTTCTGTACTGGCCTGAAATTTGAACGATTACAAGTACTTGGTTGTACTCAAATTTTATTTTAGGACAAGTATTAGTGACATTTACCTTAATTTTTGTATCTTTCTCATTGATGATTTCCTCTTTACTATGAGACTCGTTCAAGTACACCGAAGTCTGTAGACACTTTTCGTCTGTTTTCACAATCGAAGTTTCAGTTCCGATTGTTTGCAAACTAACGTCCACAAGCTCAAATTTTTCTTCAATAGACGATTCATCAGTTTGCCATTTTTGATCGACAGTGAAACACTTTTTCTGCTTTGACTCGTCGATGCTCAAGTTACTAACTTTTTCCGTTACTTTGTCCAGTTGACTCTTGGTCACATCAAGATTGCTTTTCAAAGACTCGATTTCATCGCACTTTGCATCCAATTTTTGCTGCAGTTGGCTGTTTTCTTTCTCCACAAGCTCCAATTTTAATCTCAACTCTTCGAGCAAAGCTTTTTCTGCCGAGTTGCTTTGATCTTTAGACTAAAATAAGTATTACTTGCAAATGCCATATTCATTACATAAAATAAAAAAAAAATTGTTATAATTTACCTCATCATCAACCTTATCATCAGATGAACTCACTGCCAACAACTCCTGGTGCGATTTCCGTGCTTTCTCTTCGGCTAGAGCAACTTTCTTTACTTGTTGTTCCAATTCTTCCTCCATATCCTCGATAGCTTTACTCTGCTTAGAGGAGTAAGCGTTGGCTTGGATGAGTTGTTCTTCCAAGTCTCGGATCTGCTCCGTACTTTCAGTCAAATCATCTTCCAATTGCTTGACACGGACCTCCATCTTGTGGGCATGACTGGATATTTCGATATATTCTTCCTTAGCTTCGTTTAAGAATATTTTCATTTTCTGGAAGAAAAGAAAACATTTGTTGCGAAAATTCGGTGAAAAACCGTACCCTGAGTTTTTTTTTCCATCACACGTACCTTTATCCTTTCGTCTTTCAGTGCACTTTCTTCCAGTAACTTATTTATGTATTCAGTAGGAGCATCTTCGGAGCAAATGCTTTCTTGAGCCATTTTAAGCTTATCGCCGGCGCATTTCGCTTCCTCCTTGGCCACCGCAAGCTCAAAGGCCATTTTTGTTTTTTCCGTTTCAGTAACGTCTTTCACCTGCTTCAGGTCGCGAATAGTTTTCTTCAAGGTCTCGACTTTCGCTGTGAGCTTTGTGTTTTCGGCCTCCAGGTCTTCTATGTATTTGTCATCGTCCTCGTCGTCCTCCATCATTGATGATCGAGATCTCTTTCGAGAATTCAGTTTCTTTAGTTTTTCTTTGTAGTAAAGCTCGATCTGTTCGACGGCTAATTCTCGAAGATCCTCTTGCTGCTCTTCCATATCTGACAGACGATTTCTAAACAAAACACATTTTTAAAATACAATACAAATCGACAGGGTAAACAACGCTTAACTTACTTCCAGTCAGCCTCGAGTTTCTTCATGATTTCAGTGTACACGTCCGTCAATTCCTGTCGCGTCTGCATTTCTTTCGTTAGAATGGACTGCTTCAGCTCTTTATTTTCTTTTTTGAGTATTTCATTCTCCGTCAGCAATTCTTCATATGCCTCTTCGTCATTCTCATCGATGTCTGATTCAACCTCGGTTTCGGCTATCGAATCAAACAAACAACATTTTATAGATAATTATCATTGTAGAGTATACGTAATCGACTTTCCATTAAAATAATACTTACGAGGCTCTGTTTCGTCGTCAAGTTCTGTGTTCTCCCAATCCATGTCGGTCTTGATGCTCTGAGTGACCAATCGCGAGAATCTCGATTGCGAATGTCGTCGTTTAACGATATTGGTGCGCTGAACGACGATCTTCTTTGCAATAGCTGAAAAATTGAGTACGTTTTGCGTCTCAATGTACAGATTGGGGACAGGATTTACGTTGACAATCAGAGCTATCTGTTCTTTGCCGGACAGAGCGCGTTGGAAGAGTCTCGTGAGTTTGGATTCACGGAACGGGCCGATGGACTCGTTCTTTTGTTTGGAATTTTGACTCTCGTAAATTGTCTTTAGACACCGTCCCAACACTAGTAGACTTGTGTTGATGTTCTGAGCTTCTTTAAGTCGTTCCCCGACGTTAAGTGTTTTTTTAAGACGTTCAGAGCCAGCTAAATCACAGAAGGCAAACCTGTAGCACAAAGGAAAAAAAAGTATTAGAAAACACGTTCATAATCGAGGCGCATTTATTACTTACATGCTGACATCGACAGAATTCGGATCTAGTTCTTTTCTGTACTTCAAAAGTTTAATGGTAAATATGCAGTGAGATCTCGAGCTTCTGGAGTTCAATGCCGTCGCAGCGACTTTCAAATTGTACTGTCCAGCCATTAAAACCTGATAGGCGTCGGCTCCTGAGCTCACGCATACGCTTTTCAAGCCCCTGATGAAAGTCCTGCCACAGGCATCGGTCGCTAACTTGAGCGCAGGTCGTCTCTTGTGACAATCGTTCCACAGTAGATCATAAATCGTTTCGTTGTAGATCTCTGCAAACGATATCCATACGGAATACTGCGCATCAAAGTTGCGATTGGGTCTCATCGGCGATTCCTGTACGAGTCGCTGCTGCATCTGATTGTACGTCGATATGTACATGTTTTTGTCTCCTGGATTCAGAGCCAATAGTTTCATCTTGGCGTCGATCTCTTGGGCACGTTCCTGACTGTTCAAATAAACGATGTCGCACAGATTGACTGGTTTGAAGCAAGGCGTTCCTCGGGGGTTTATGTGGCTAAAGAGAAATTCAATTCCTCGAGGAATGATGCCTGGAGACTCGGGAGTGCCTTGCAGGGTGTAGGTTTTTCCTGAATTTGTGGTTCCTAAAAAAAAAAAAAAAAAAAAAAATAGATTTGATAGATCAAGTAACTTGAAGTAAATTGTTGCCAAACCGATACTCACCATAAGTCATAACAATGGAGTTTTTGCCGGATAAAAAATCAATCATCTGGGGCTTCACAGCATTTTCAAACAGCTCCAGTTGCGACGTCATTGCATCGAAAGTCTGGGTGAAGATAAATTTCCTGCAAACCATTTCACTAGCTTTGACTTTTTTCAAGCAGCTTGTATTGTTGTCCAAGGATTGCATTGACGTCATCAACGTGGTTGAATTTAAAATTTGGTATGCATCTATTTGCTCTTGAGTGAGCTTCATTTTTTTGGGCAAAGGCTTCATCCTCAAGAATACCTTGATAGTTTGACTGGTACTGGGATCAACAGTGGTAGTTAGCACTGTTGATATCGTATCCCTACTTTGGCTTGGCTCTTCCTTGTCATCTTCTTTCTCTTCTAGCAGAGAGTAAAGGTTTTTCTTGGATGCTACAGGTGGCAATGGTCTTTGGCCATAAGCCAAGATGCTTGGATCTCTGGCATAAAGGTATGACACATCATTCCTGACGGACTCGTTGTCCGATGATGATATTTCATTCCTGACGGACTCATTGTCCGATGATATACTCCCACTTATGATGCTCATCTGTAATTTTTGATAAAAATTTTTTAAATAATTTTACAATATAAAGAAATAAAAATATAAGACATCACCTCAAATGTTTATTTATTTTAAAAACAAAAATTTATTAATTTAACCAAAATTCATAGAATTGAAAAAATAAAATTTTCAAGTCATTACACTATAATAATTTGTAAGTACTGAATAAATTAAAAAAATTTCTGTTACAATGGCATAGGGAAGGGGAAGGAAGGGGGTCATTACTTCCGACAGGTTTCAGCCTGTTTTTTAGCAGATAGCACGCACTATATACATATGTACATCGGGGAGGACTTGAATAATTTATTAATTTATACTTTAAAAATAAGATTTCTGGTCAACAATTAAATACTACGTCTTTCTGCCAACTGAATACTTTACATTAACACTTTTTTGGTTGCAAGTTAATAACAAACTTTCTTATCAAAATAGTACACTCGTTGAAAGACAATGCAAATGTCCAGACAAGTAATATCTCCTCAAATAAAGTGAAAATGACACATCAACCACTGAACATACAAAAATGCCAACAGACCAACTCTAGACAAAAATCAGCATAAAACTATGTGCCTCTCTCCAAACTCATTACAAATGTAAAAAAATTAAAAAAAAAACAAACAAAGACAACACCGTCCACCTTATAGAGTAGGTACCCATAAACAACCATATCGAGAACAATGCCAACGTGTAACCAACAATTTCCACGTGATTGACAATAAAGTTTGGGCACGATGATCTCAGATTACTGTACAAAGTGTTAAGTACTTGTATAGGGAAAACAAAAGGGTCCCTTACCTTGTTGATAACGCCAAAACCGTAGGACGTGTCGCTCATTTTGATCAACGTCCAATGGTGTAAATGCAGAAAAAATATCAAAGCATGTCCAAACAATCGAAAAGTAGTGAAACGCTTTCGTGCACTTGCTGACTCTGATGCCTCGTGTATATTTTATTTCGGACACTACGTGAATGAAATGATTTGTAGGTACGGCAATAAAATAGTACAACAAACATCCATGCGTCACTGTAAGCTACTTTCTTTTGAAATTAAAACGGTTTTCAGCACATTTAAATCCAACAACTCTTATTGGCTGCTCTTTTGCCTCGCATGAGAGTAAGTCTCTGTTGATCTTGAGGCTCACTACATCTCCGACAGTCGGTAAGTAATTGTGCGAAACCGGTAAACGGTAAATGTGATTAATGTATCAGAAAAAAATTTTTTTTAACAAAATCAATTAATGTTTAAACGAGCCGCGGTCAATATTAGACTTGTGCCTATTATCTCAGTATACATATACAAAGCAAAAGGTTTTAATAAAAAATAAAGTCTTTTATTCATCAGTCATTTAAATATACAAATTTTATCAACGAATAAACAAAAGTCAATGCTTTGAGCGCGAATCACTACAGCGCAACAGCAGGAATGTAGTACCTGATTTGCAAATAATCATCAAGATTCAAATTAATATTGATGACTCGTTCGTTGAGAATATTGCACCTTATCGTTGTGGGATGAACGGCTTCCCAGGCCACAAAAGCGTGGAATTTCTTAATGTCGATACTAGCAGATATGGTCTCGTCTTCAGAAGCGCACTGCAGCACAGCTAGATTTGGAAAATGCACTGTGATGGTTGCCGTGTCAGTGTCAGCCTTGAATGCCAACACGCCGTTTGTATTTGCAGATATTATAAGAATCGGACTCATGTTTTTTATCCTTTCCACGACACTTTTCAGATGCTTGAACTGAGGCATCTCCAACGAGATCTGGAACAAAATAAGTGCAATGAATCATTGAAAAATTCGAATGAAGTGGATAAGAGATGGAATAAAACTCTTACATTGTATTTTTCCACACTGGGTTCGTTGTATTCGCTCCACTTTTTCTGAGGGATTATCGTCACAGGCACATCGTGTATGCACAAACGAGACTCGGCACTGATGGATGACAGCTCAATCTCAAAAGTAAGGCATGGCTGTTGCTTGTTTGTCAATTTGATTTTAACGCTTTTTGCCGCTGTTTTGAGGGAAACAACACTTTTAGCGAGCATTGCTGTGACTAGTTCCATGTAAATTTCATTGAACTCGTCTGATTTGCCTGCCACCAAGTAATCCATGAAAAAGTGATTCTGGTCCAGTTTTGCCCAAACCATCGGTGTACTTTCGTCGGCTACGTTGAAGTAAAGAGAGTCCTGTGTTAACCTGATGACACAGGTTTTGGACATTCGAGCTACTGTTGTCGCAACATCTGCGAATTTAAACGCGTATTAGAACAAATCACCGATGAAAAAAAAAAATCATGCAGAATAAGCAGGATGTTTACTGGTAAAATCTCTCATGGATCCACTGTCCGTCATTTTACACTTAAACTTCATTGTTGTTGATTATACTTTTAAAAATTAAAATAGTATACAAACAGTTGCAAATCTTCAAAGCCACTTAAAAAAAAATCTAACGACACCAAACGCTATTAAGTACAAATAAAAAGATGATCCCTTTTGTCTTGTGTTTACATTCGCGTACCTTTGCGTCGTCTGCTCATCGCGGCTGCAATTCGCGCGAAAAATCTTTCAATTATCTCTCTTTCTCTCTCTGTCGATCGGTTACCGGCAGATCTTCCTTTTCGACTCATGTGCTTCGACCGCTGAAATTAAAAATGCAATAGTCGTTATTTAATTATTATTACATGACTTAAGTGTTAAATGCACTGCTCATTAATTTCATTGATGAGTAAATTTTTGAAGTGCAATTGACTCCGAAGGTAAAAACATGAAGTTTCGTCGGTTGATAAAAAACTCGTTCAGCGCTCCAAAATGGAATGTATATAGAATGAAAAAAAAACATGACATCTCATTGCAGATGTTTATTTACACATCAACAGGTGTTGTGTTCTCACTCCTACTCCGTGATTTGTAATCTTTGCACTTTTGTTTCCAAAATTAGTATACGTAAGAGCACGATGTTGAAAACGTATTTTTTCCATCGAATACTAATACTTATTTATAGACTAAGTAGAAAATTTTATCTTATCGTTCGAAACACTCCAAAGTTTGGAAATGACAGTTGATCATTAGAAGACTCCAATTCGTGCGCTATACATATGTATAAGTTCAGGTGTATAACGGCTATCAGGAGAATTTTTTTTTTATCTTCGCGCGAGTAGTCGTCGCGTAAATAGGTAGTTTGCTGACGCTTTCAACAAAGGTTTTTTAAATTTTCATCTCGCAGCTTCAAACTGTGTCTTGTATGGAAGTAAGTGTAGTATTGCTTAAAAGTTAATAATAGTAACGCGCAACAGTGACAGTAGTGTGATACATAAAAAACAAAGATAATAATGAATTGCACTCGCGTGTACGTGTACGAAGTGGAGGAGTTTGAACATTTAAGTGGACATTTGGGACAAGCCGAGCTAATTGCAATGATGCAAGGAATGGGAATTAAGAAAAGAGTCCGCTTCGTTGATTACGTTGCTTACGTTTACGCGTGAGTAAATATTTGGATGTTTTTTTTTGTACAATTGTTCATTATACTGTCGAATGTTGATTTTATAACCTTATTGTTGTTTTGTAGTACATAATATACGTTCGTGCGTATGCAATGTGTATGTATAATTATGCACATGTATAGCTATATATAGGTGTGTATGCATTCAAGTAAAGCTATATACCTACTACTACTACGTTATACTGTTTTCCGTTAGTCACAGTTTATTTAAAAACTATAAGCTATAGTGCTCCATCAAATGTGAGAACTTGTTGTTAAACGTATCACACTGGACAAATGTAACAATAGAAAACCAATTAAAGAATATCCTAGGTACTGCGTACCCTATTAGGATATCATCCACTTCCATAGAACGCCCAATTAAGATTTCGGACTCGTACCCGGGACCGAATTCAGGAGCAAGAGATAGACGCTGTTCGTGTTTAAAAAACGATTTTACGGTAATCATGGCACGATTAAACATACAAAAACAATTTTCCACGCTCCAAGCTTTTATATACAATATGTACTGCGCACACTTTTTCTTGGTGTGTAAAATTGATGACGTCATCCTCGGATATTATTAACTTAAAAAAAGGTAAGAGACGACAGTAGTTGCAGCGACTGCTCTATGATAAGCATCATTACTATTGGTTACCAAAAACTATGACGTATCAATATTGTACTGCCAACATTATATTATAACTCAAGAGGAACGTAAGGTTTTACAAAATTTACCTGAAAAAAAATGATCCGATCTTTTTGCATGAATTAGAAGGAACCAATGATTCTTGAACGAAAAAATTTGCATGACAAAGGGTCAAGAACCTCGCAAGCAAAAAGGAAAGGGGAAAAAAAAAAAAGAAACTAATAGACAGCGGAACGACAGCTCTCGCCCGATCGAAAAATTCCCCTCATCCTGATGATATACATGTATATACGTTGATACTTGTAATAGGGGTATATCCCCAGCTATACCATAGTAGTCCTTGTCCGTCATATGCGCGCTTTCTTTTTGCTGATGCTTTCCTCCTTATAATTATCTACTATATACCTTAAACTGCACCTGTATATACACATAGAGCGATTGTGCCAAAAAACTCCATATAGTTGGGAATTCAGTTTTATTCTTTTATCAAGAACACATGTGTTTGGGCCCAATGATCTTAATCTTCCTACACGTCTAAAGAAAAATAAAAAAATTCGCAAACTTAAAATACGTAACGTGTGACATACTTTTTGTTTTCTTCTACAGCCTTTATCAATGAGTATTACGTCGATCTGAGAACGACCTTTTAAATTCGGGATGGGACGATTCAATTTTCGATTTCTTTGAATTTGAATGAAAACAAAAATGTTTTTAGCATATTGTATCCCCTATAATAATTCTAGAGCCCGTCTCACAGCATGATTTTTTTTTTCATAGAACCATGCACACACCCTCCTCCATATTACCGTTTCCCTCTAACAAAAACACACACCTATACCCATCAAGCAACCCAATATTCATAGGTACGCGATAAGCGTATAGCAATTTCACTCGAAATTTATACGATATAATATACGTACATGCAAGTATAGTACCGTGTCTCTTTATTTATAAGGAATAAAAGAAGATGTGCAAGTATCACCTAAATATTCAAGTCTCGCGTGTATGTTATAATATTATGCACACACATGGGGAAGGAGGACTCCGAGGAGCGATCCTTGGAGTATAGGTATATAATATAATGTATACCTACCGATATTTGTGTATATATATATAAGTACTGGCAGTTGCTGCAGCGGTTCCCTCCCTCATTGGTATAAATTTCCCCCATATCCCGCTTCATTTATGCCACACATATACGTATATGTATCCTCTATAAATGTGTATATATATATATTAACGTACCCCCGCATATGTCTTTATGCACTGTTATGGGCGAAGACGCATGAAACAGCTATAGCATCAGGGAGTAGGAGGACACGGACAGGTGGCGAGAGACACGTGGCACTCGCACTTATAGAGATAATAGAGAGAGAGAGAGAGAGTGAAAGATGCGAGGGAGCATCGGAGAGAAAAAAATGTGCGCCCTGCACGTAATATATAGCCACACCTTTGCTCTAAAACGCGACCCTCGTACGTATATATATATATACATATATTATTAAGTGCACCTCGATTCTCCAGACTTCGTTTTCTCTTCTCGTCCCCCCCTTTAAATTATAATTCCTTTCGGCATAATGTATATAATATACATGTAAGGTAAAGTTCTTTCATTGGTGCGCTGTATGCACATATACACCCACCCCCGATCTCTCTTTTTCTGCAGCAGCAGCAGTTTTTTTTCGGAGGATCGAGGTAAAAAGGGAGCCAGGCGCGTGCCCCGGCCGCGTGCGGGATGTACTCATTGAACGTGTGGGCGAAGGGACGAAGCTGTGAGTAAGACGCACATAATTATATTATGCGTGCAGTTTTTATCCCTCGTGTTGTTGTTGTTTTTTTTTTTTTTTTTTTTCGGGATTGTAGTAGTATGGATTGCAAATTTTACACCAGAAGCAGGGTTGCTTCTTTTTTTTCATTCTAGTGTAGCAGAGGGTGGGTTTTTTTTCCGTCGATTTTTGTCCCGCATATATTCTATCCTCATCTGAAAGGAAGAGAGGTGCTATTAATTTTCAGAGAGGGGACAAAATATTACATCGATAATCAAGTCGCGACCACCTTGATAACAATTGCGTTTATTTATCGATCATACAGCGATGGCTCAATATTACTTTCAATCGATGTCAGTGTACGTGTATATCCTGTATGATGTTCGTCGCACTATATAGGTACTGCAGTTGGTACCTACACATCATGTGTTATAATACTTATACGTGTGTTTTTCATTATGGATATGCATATACATATAGAACGGATCAAGTATCCATACAAACTGTCATTGATGTACAAGTAAGTAAAATTTCAGTGCCGAGGGTGACGAGGTACACTGGAACACTATATAACCATGTGGATAACGTAATAATTAATATGTTGTACCTGTATATACCTAATAGTTCAACCCACGAGTTTGAGGGGGAGTTAAAAGTACAACTCGTGTTTTCCGTGTAACATACGTTGTACAGTCCTTTTGTATGATACAAATACATCTGTACACTTCGTGACAAAGTCTTCAATGAGTTTTAAAAAAAATTTTTTTTTTTTAATCTCATTTCGGATACGAAACGCTTATTTATATCGATTGAATTTGGTCTTTCATGCAGCGACAAGTATCGAAATACATCGTTTTTAAATGTTCTACAAACAAACTGTAAATAGTTACAGGAAAAAAAAAAAAAAAAAAAAAACCAAGTAAAAATTGTACACACATTATTATTGTGTTTATCGTCACCGCGATCAAACGAACCAATATTAGTGAGTGTACATTGTAGAGCTTATAAGTATAGAAAAAAAACCCTTTGCACGCGATTTGCCGATCATTGAACCAACCGAATTAAAATCCTCGGGGTGAACGACCGACCTCGTGGCCCGTTACGTATACTTGCAGATGGTATACAGCAACAATATATATATATAT